TTTCTCTCAACTTATCTTTCCGCAAACAATCTTGTAAAATCTGTATTGATCTTCTTTATCAATATATATTTCAAATTTGAAAATTGTGTTTGTATTCATCCCCCCCCCCCCTTCTACAAACTGTTTAGTATTCTTGTAGACCCTTTTGGGACCAACACTAATGTATAGCATGAATTTTGTTCGTTAGTAAGTTTGTACATGGTGGGTTGTTCCATTTGGTATCAGAGTCTTAGTTTAAGAGATTTAGATATATTACATGATACATAGACTTAAACTAGAAGCGTTAAGTATGTGATAATAGGTTCCACTGGGATTTTGAATATGGGAATGTGTTATAATTGGGCCTAACATGACGACAAATATGGTAGATTTAGATTACATGCGATAAATGTAATCTTGAGTTTCAGGTGCCTGATTGAACATGAGCATATTATTGTACTCAAGTATGTGATTAATTGTATATATGTTTATTGTGGCAGTTAAGGAACTACAAGTATAAGGTACGATGGCAGATAATCCTATACGCTCAGAGAGGAATATGCCTATGAATCCTGGATTAGAAAATATTCTTGGGAGAACTTCTACGGGCTACGGAAGAGGCCGAGGACGAGGAATCTTGAACAATGAAATAAATCCAGAAATTGCGACAACAGTAGCAACAAGGAGTCGAGGTCGGGGCCGCAGAAGAGGGAGAGGTATTCAACAAAAAATTCAAACAGTAAGAGAAATATGAATACAAGAAAGTTCAACTTCAGGTCGTGGAAGGGGTAGAACAAGGGGCAGAGGTCGTGCTCATAACCCTAGGTTTGTTACTTAGGAAACGTTAGCAACTGAGCTGGGAAAATTTCAAGATAATATGGTAAATCTGCTAGGGCATTCCACTCAGTATAATCCAGAAGGAATGATGAACCCAAATCTTCACGAAGAAATTGGGGCAAATACACTGGTGACAACTACAACTGCACCACCTACTTCATCCTCAATACCGAAGGGAGATGATATTAATATGTTTCTTACATGTAAGCCTCCTAAATTTTTTGGAGATCACGATCCTATTAAGGCCATTATTGGCTTAAAAAGATTGAATTAAGTTTGAAGACTAGTAAAAGTGCGAAAGAAGATAAAGCAATGTTTGTTGTATCAAGATTGCGGTCCACTGTATTGGTGGGAAATCATGATGAGTTCAGATCCGAACATTTTAGAAACAATGTCATGGAAAGAATTTGTAGTAATATTTAAAGTTCAGTATTTTCCTAAAACTGTGGTTCGAAAGCTAGAGGACGATTTTCTTCGATTAGAGCAAGACAACATGACGGTTCGTCAGTACACTGAAGTATTTATGGAACAATTTCGATTCGGCGAGGCCTGTGTTGCTACTGAAAGCAGCAAAGTGAGAAAATATATTTGGGGTCTGGAGTCTAATCTCAAAAATTATGTAATTTCTAGGAACCCGATTACATTTCAAGTGGCAGTTGCTGCTAAAAAAATTCTGGAACAGGATATCGATCATCAACCGCTAGAAAAGGTTGGGGAGAAAAGAAAAGAGGAGGCAATAGCAACTGAATTCCGTAGACCTTGACCTTTTGGAAACCAAAATCGTCCAATGTCAAGGTTTACTGAAAGAACATGTGTTCCCTGTCATAAAATACATCAAGGAGAATGCAACAATGAAACACAAACATGTTATAAATATCAAGAATCAGGTCATATAGATAAAGATTGTCAAATGGTACAAAGATGTTTTACATGTAATTCCTCCCAACATATTAATGTTGAGTGTCCGCAAGCAAAAAGACGGGATTTGGTTATTCTGGGGATCGGGGATCTGGTTATGCTAGGGGCCGAGGATCTGGTTATGCTGGGGACTATCTACCCAATTGGGGGGCTATTGTTTAATTGCAATGTTCCTGGCGGTCATGGAGGAGTAAGGCGTGGAGAGGCAGTGGCTAGGGGAAGAGTCTTTCAAATGATGAGAGGTGAAGCTGAAGAAAATCCCAAGGTGGTGACAGGTACATTCTTTGTTAATTTAGTATGTGTCAAAGTCTTATTTGGTTCTGGTACAAATCGTTCTTTTGTGTCACCATCATTTGTTGGATATGTGTGTTTAAAGTCTAAAATGTTAGATGATGTTGTGATAGTAGAAACAACAAATGATAGCAAAGTATCGGTTAAGGAAGTTTTTGACGATTATTCAATATCAGTAAAGGGGTGTGAGGTACCCATCCAATTATTTCCAATGTTGTTAAGGGAATTTGATATAATTATGGGTATGGATTGGTTGGGTAAAAACCAAGTCAATATAATGTGTAATAAGAAAATGATTCATATAGATTTACCTAGGAAGGGACCGGTAATCTATGGTGATAGACGAGATCGTTATTCCAACCTTATATCCGTTCTAAAAGCTCGGAGGTATGTACAGAAAGGGTGTGTCAGTTTTCTCGCTTATGTGATCAATATAAAGAAAGAGAAGAATAAGATGGAGGATATTCCTATTCTAAGTGAATTTCCAAAAGTGTTCCCAGAAGATTTATCAAGTTTACCTTCTGATCGATCGATAGAATTTCATATTGAGTTGTTCCTAGGAGCTGTGACAATTGCTCATACACCATATAGATTAGCTCCATCTGATTTCAAGGAATTGAAAGAATTGTTGGATAAAGGTTTTATCCGACCAAGTACATCTTCTTGGGGTGCACCGATATTGTTTGTAAAGAAGAAAGACGGATCAATGAGAATGTGTATCGATTACCATGAGTAAAATAAGTTGACAATCAAGAACAAGTATCCACTCCCAAGAATTGATGATTTATTTGATAAATTGATTGGGGCTACTTACTTCTCAAAGATTTATCTACGATTCGGTTATCATCAACTAAAAATTCGAGAAGAAGATGTGTCGAAAATAGACGCGTTGTGGGCACTACAAGTTTCTTGTAATGCCATTTGGACTTACAAACGCACCAGCGGCATTTATGGACATGATGAATATGGTATGTTGTATGTACTCGATAAATTTGTTATTGTTTTTATTGATGACATATTGATATACTCTCGATCTAAGGAAGAGCATGCTAATCATCTGCAACTGATTCTAGAATTTTTGAAACAAGAAAAGTTGTATGCAAAAATGTCAAAATGTGAGTTCTGGTTACGCAAAGTTCAATTTCTGGGTTATGTCATTTCTAGAGGGGGGGTATTAAAGTGGATCCCCTCAAATTGAAGCCATCGAGAAGTGGAAAGCACCAAAAACACCTACATAAATCAAGAGTTTTCTTTGTTTGACGGTTTATTATCGAAAGTTTATACAACATTTATCTCATATTGTAACACCGTTAACCAGACTGACGAAAAAGAATGTGAATTTTGAATGGAAGGAGGTACAAGCTGAAGCTTTTCAGATGTTAACAGATAAATTGTGTAACGCGCTAATTCTATCCTTACCAGATGGTACGGAATATTTTGTGGTCTATAGTGATGCCTCGAAACTGGGTTTGGGTTGCTTATTAATGCAACGCAAAAAGGTTATTGCTTACGCCTCAAGGCAGTTAAAGGATCATGAAAAACAATATCCTACCCATGATATGGAGCTTGCATCGGTAGTTTTTGTTTTAAAAATCTGGAGGCATTACTTGTATGGGACTAAATGCCAATTTTTTATTG